CCTTCCCCTCTCTCTCGCTCTCTTATTCCCGTCTCCCCCCCTCCCCCCCCCCCCCCTCCCCCAAATCCTCTTATTTCTAAAGTTATTTCGAAGATTGGTAGGGGTATAATGATTGTGAAGCAGTTTGCAGGGAGATTTGTGCATGGACTGAGCGTGATCGCTTGCAATGGAACTGTGCAATACACGCGTGAAACGACTGTCTAAATTACTCAATTTAAGTATTTTCGAGCAACGCGATGAGCTTGAAGAGGTAATTTCTTTCTGAAAAATTTTCAGTATTTAATTGAAACTGAAGCCATAAGCCCTTTCTTTTACCACGACTCTTTAAATTTATTCATTGGAACTTCTGAAATGCATGCTTGAAAGGTTGCCCTGAGAAGGAAAAATAGGGATGATTCAAGAGTTAGTTTACCATTGTTAGGGTCCCACTGTGCAATTGAATATGAACGTTCACCTCTTCTTTAATCCATAAGAGCTTTGTTTGTATCACCCGTTTTGAATGAAAATAACGAAGGAACACTAAAGCCGAAATAATGCTATGATAGCAGAACTAAATTACAGAAATTGGAAAATGGTTTCAACATGGTTCAGAATCGAACGAACGGTCTTTCGGAAAAGGAATCATACGATGTTCTGTTACAGATGGCTGGAGAAACAAAGGTATCGTTTCGTTGAACTACTTTTTTCTCATTCCTATATGTTATTCTACTGGAAAAGTAAGATTACTTGTAAAAGTTCTGGAATGTTCATTGCAATATCCTTGTCAACTTCTTTAAATAAACTTTTTGCTTTTGGAATTAAGCGTTGTTATGATCCTTCATCATATATGTGTGTTTTATAGGTATTTGAGAGTATCACAGGAGGTCTTTTATATGGATTGCTAACAGAACCACAAAATGCTCAAAAGGTATGCTAGGAATGCTTCAGAACAATCATTTTTAATATGCTGTGGTTGCATTTTTTAGGAGAAAGAAAGTTTTCTCTATTTTCAGTAGTTAGTTGAAAGCAAGAGATCAAGAGAGAAGGCCGAAATTATTCCCAGATGCATGGGATTAGAATTACGTGTTTAATATGTTATGTTTTTAGTATTTTTCTATTATGTCTCTATTAGCGCGTGATGGTTGGTTCTGCGCTTTGTGCAATGTTAATATGATATTATTTGAACTTTACCCGCGAATGCGACCAGAAGTGCGCGAGCAGATTGTATACTTTTTCCGTGAAGCAATCAAATCAAATGTGCCGAAAATTGACAATGTTCTGATCAATTACCTTCGTAATGCTAATGAAGGTAATTTTGCAAATCTCTAGAGTCATATTACTGTTATAAATTGGAATTTATTAATCAGCAGTACTGAAAACCGTTTGCTGTCAAGTATTTTTATGATCTAGACTTCTAGAAAAGGTTTTTCCCGCATTTATAATGAAAAGTAACATCTTTATTGGGAACTGAATAATGTCATATGTAACGTAATTTACATCATTGTGTTCCTGGCAGCTGTTAACAGAATAAATTCAACATTTACAGGAAGTGATTTGAAGGAAACCTGCGCCCTTTTAAGTGCTGTTGCTGGGATGCTAAATGACCACCATGCTTGGTTGAGCGAATTGAAACCGAAAGCTTCCCTTATTCCAGTTACTCTGCTCACTTTTACGAGGTAAGTTTACCCTTATCGTTTACTGTTTCGAAAGTTTTTAACTATTTAAGCCAAGCTAAATTTTGAACATAGATTCTTTCTTTAATTTCTTTTATTCCGAACATGTCTACTTGAGTATTTATTACTGATTTAACTTAAACCCATTCCTGGCCCTTTCTCCATATGCATTTACTTTTTTCTGATCGTCTACATAATACATTCTTCGATTAGTGCACAACTTTCAGATGCAGATTATTTACTTTCTCATATTCCTATATTTTCAGATTCATTTGTGACCTTAGCTCTTTCAACGCATTTGAATCCTTGCGCACCCAGATGGTTAATGTTTGTCACTGGTTGCTTACAGAACGATTTGTAGACTGTGCGCAGTTAGGACGAGATCTGATCTTGGCATTAATGAGAGTTTCTAAAATACCGCAATTTACTATTATATGGCGACAACTTCTCTATAACCCAAACAAACTAGGACTTAATATTAGTGGTTAGTTAACTGCGTTTGTCTGTCAATTTTCCTGGAGCCTCTTCCACAAAGCAAATGTTTAAAAGCCGTCATGATTATGGTTGTCAAATTGGGATGGTTATAATTCCGTGAAAGATTCTTTAGTATTTCTGATTAGCTGTAATAATGCAGTACCGTCTACTATGTCCGCAGCCATTTGATGGAAGGGCTTGTGATTTTTCGTTTTATATAATAGCCACCATTAAACATGAACGCATACCAATCACTCAAATCAAATTATTAATTCAGTTGAAGAATTAATGAGCCGCATGTGTCCACATACTTTTCCTCTCTACCGGATATCTGTAGCTATGCAACGAAAACTTGAATTCATATTTGCCAAAGTAAAACCTGGAACTCATGAACGACACTTGGATTGGTTCAAAAAACAGGTTGGATTGATCATTAAAAGATTCAAAAATCGCTTTTCTAGGATAGGGTTGAGTGTAGGGACGCATGTCTTTATTATTTTGATAATCAAGGAAGTAAAGCAGACAAAAACGAAGTTACTTTTACAGTACTTATCAAATCCGGAGGCTGGTAGTCTTCGTTCTGAATTGGTTCGTTGTGCCATATTTCTTTCATGCGGTGAAACGCCTCAAGTTGGCCAGGAGATGAAGGCAGTTTTCATTGCCTCAATGTTTCCGCAAACAAGCGTATGTTTAAATGTCATTTTTATGAACTCTCCAATACTACTGTTTTTTTTTTAAGTCGCAATTATGTACATTGGACTTTCTTTTTCTTACATAATTAATATAATGATATAGCGAATATATTATAGAGTATAATGGAACAGCAGTGGTGCAAGCTGCATCTTTTATGGGACTGGTTTTGTTATGATCCTGCTACTGGAGGGCATATTCTCATTGGTAGTGCTTTTCAATCATTCGATTCGTTATATTTAGTTTCTTTGATAAATGTGATACTGAATTTGAATCCAAAAACGAAGATAATGGTGGTTTTTATCAGAAAAGTAGTGGACATAATTTTTTTGAATTTCAATCACTCTATATTTATTTATTTGTATTTATTTATTTGTATTTATTTATATTTGTGTTTATTTATATTTTATGTATTTATTTATTTCTAGATTTTTCTGCATCTCCTGTTATATAAATTTTCTTCAAACTAAAAATATTGAACATGAAATTTCTGGGATCATTCATGAAGAAATAAATATTGTAATATTTATACTCATTCTTCATGTGTGATGTCTAAAGCTTTATTTTCAGTAACACTTTACATTTGAAGTAAATTTTGGACTTGTTCTTTAAAATATTTTTTTCAAAATAAGTTCTTATCACTTTCAGAACCTGCTTTCCATGTCCTACGACATCTTTTACATGTTCAACCGTTACTTGCGAATTCGCTTGTTGACTTTATGATAAGAGTAAGTTATTTGTTTGTATAAACTTGTAAAATGTTGTAAATGTTCATGTTACCTGTCCTCATTAGTATACTAGGTTATTTTTCAACAAAGAATTTATAATTTCAACTGCTATTTCACGAAATACTGCATATTAGGTTATATTTTACAAAACTAAGAATTTTTTTTGTTTCATACATAACGGATATACTTTGTTTGTATGGACTACGATTTGTTACAACAGTGCAGAAGCCGAATAATTTTTTAATGCCATTTATTTATTTTTTAGTTTCATTAAAAAAAGAAAATGGATATTAAAAAGCCCAAGCTTCAGATGAGTTATGAACTTCACCCACAACTGCAGCAACGAATAACAACCTCAGTTACAAATTCGTTCAAATTTTTGATTGATCATAATATTTTAGGGTTAGTTTACTATACATGCATGTTCTAAATTCATTTTTCATTAGCATCATGTTTTTATTGTCCCCTTAATTCTCTATTTTCTTCACTAAGTCTGTATAATCGAGTCTGTTCTTTTTTCACTTTTTCATGTATAAATCACGTCCTAACTGAGTTGACATTTATACAGTGCTCTTAGAGCCCTGCTGTTTTTGTGTACGCGTTCTTGATTTTTCCAGATCTCCTTCCGTGATATTCGATAATCCAGTGTTACAAAAGAATGTGCGCGAAAATTTCCGGGATACATTTCGAGGACTTTTCCGACCACTTCAAGCAATACAGACACATCTTTCTAGTGTAGGAATCGGTAAAATCATAGTAATCGTCACTGTTCGTAGCATATTTTTGCTTCTGAGCAAATGGTCTTTATTCTTGTAGATCAATATGATAATCATGAAACCGTTCTGTTTACTACATTTGCCGTTAAAGTTTTGATTGGCTGGCACTGTGCGACGATGGTGAATAATTATGAGAAAAAACGGACTGTGTGTATCATCTATTTCATCAATAATTACGGCATGGAAATAATTCATCAGCAGCTTATTCAATTTCAAACAGTTTATTTCTTGATTGATACATCTTGATTGTTTTTCCTTTGAAGATCGGGATGTGAGTGAAGCGGAAAAACATTTCCAGAGCCTGGTGAGATGCCGATATCAGATGTGGAAATCGCCCCAAGCGAAACTGGTTCAGCAATTACGGAGGATGTAGTTAGCATGGATTCATCGCTAGTCGAAGACAGTGGATCAGTTGATGAAGAATTTGGTTTATCATGTGAAGAAAAAGTAATGACTCTCTTGGCCGCTGTTAAAGAAGAATTTCGAGAACCGATTGAAAATTTATCAAGTGTGAAAAATTCAGATAGCGATATGCGATGTGAAATGATGCAAAAATTGTTGTCTTCAATTTTTGATAATGTAAGTTTCAACTCTCACATGCATTTATTCAGTTATATTTTAACGAAACAGCGGAAAGTAAAATACACAGAAAATATCTGCGAAGTGCTATAACGTGCTGATATTTTTATATGCTCTTTCTTAAGGAGAAATAATTGTTAAAATTTTGTTCTTTCATTTTTAACTTTGCTTTTCGATTACGCGTTTTTTATTTCCATATTTTATTATGTTCTTCATGAGTTTTGAAGTTTACATCTGTTTATCTGCCTTTGAAATAAAATTGA